AAGGGGAAGTTTGAGTTTTCGAAAGACTTGTGTTATTCCTAGTTGACTCTCTCATTGTGGATCTGATGTGAGCACTCAGTGACTGTTCAGTGCCGTGCCTACCTGCTTGCTGCCATGTTTCCTGCCAAGTTCGTGATTGCACCAAGTTCACCCTCTGCACCTATAAGCAAACCTCCAATTAAATGCTTTCTTCTGTGGGTTTCCTTGGTTCTGGTGTTCCTTCACAGCCACAGAAAAGTAACACTCCCCCTTCATGACATACCCAACTTTATGTTCTCTCCCTCTTTGAAATAAACAACAAACCACAAAACGTAAACCTAAATAGGCAAGCAAAAGACCAATAAGACAAATAAATGTCCCCTCTTCCCACAACAATAAGTCCACAAAACCAAAAACCAAAAGCAAAAAACCAACACCACAGAGTTTAGAATGTATTAACCAATTATCCCTGTGCACGAGGCCTGCCGGGCAGTGTGATGGATAATGCTCACCGGAGAAAAGAGATTTTTACTTTTGCCAGTGGGTTGCAATTGCAGACAGCTTCTTTGTTAGAGGTGGGGCCTGGTGTCCCCTCTCCCCTCTCAGTGCTGGGACCCCGTTTGGTTTGAACCTGTGCAGATCTTACATGCATTGCCACAGGCTCTGTGAGTTTGTATGTGTGTCAGGCCCCTTGTGTTGTGTCTGGAAGACACTGTTTCCTCAGAGTCGCCCATCACTCCTGGTTCTTCCAGTCTATCTGCCTCCCCTGTGGAGCCCGAGGGGAGGGGTTTGATGAAGTCACTCCACTTACGATCCCATGCTCACTCTCTGTCACCGATCAGTGAATCTTACAAAGTCTTTAAAAAGGGAAACAGGAAGCACTCTTCAGAATGTTTTCTCAACGACAGCTGGCTTTTCCCAGTCTTCATCTTCCTTTTCTCTTCAGAGATAGGGTCTCACCATGTAGCCCTGGCTGTCCCAGAACTCACTCTGTAGACCAGGCTGGCCTCGAACTCACAGAGATCCACCTGCTTCTGCCTCTCAAGTGCTGGGATCAAAGGTGTGTGCCAATACACCCAACTAGTCTTCCTAATTCCGATGGCCAGACACCAGAACCCACTAGAATACTGTTCTGAGGGCAGGAAGCTGGGCCATCTGGATCTTTCCACAGTCCAGACCAAATCAGAGCCTTATCTTGAGAAAATTCTTTCTTTCTTCCTTTCTTCCTTTCTTTTTTTTTGTTTTTGTTTGTTTTTTGTTTGTTTTTTGTTTTTTGAGGCAGGGTTTCTCTGTGGCTTTGGAGGCTGTCCTGGAAGTAGCTCTTGTAGACCAGGCTGGTCTGCCTTACCCTCCCGATGCTGGGACTAAGAGTGTTTGCTTTTGCACTCAATTGGCATGTGTGATTTTCAGAGGACACTGGATGTAATTTTATCCATGCCACCTCCAACTGGGTACCATCTACTTCCCCAATCCATTAGGGATGTCTTAACTCTTACTTCAACATTCAAGTTCTCTAATGAGAAAATAATTCAGGATCTTCTTTGAAATTAAAAAATGGCAACTGAAATTATAGCCCTTCTCCACACACACACACACACACACACACACACACACACACACACGCGCGCGTGCGTGCGTGCGTGTGTGTGTGTGTGTGTGTGTGTGTCTGTCTGTCTGTCTGTCTCTGTGTGTGTGTGCAAATGTATCTGTGTATATATGTATGTATGTGTGACCCTCGCCTAAATGGCTTCCCAGAGGTCCCTGCTGAGTTGGGCTTGTGGCCCACAGCAGGATCTGCTCACTAGGTGTCTTGCATTGCTTTCTCCCTTCCCTGGCTTGTTCACTTACATCTCAGGGTCTCCTTCTAAGCCCTTGTCTCCAAAGCCTTCCAGACCCCTGCTCTGTTCTTAGAGCTCTCACCAGACTGGCAAACTGGGTTTTCTGTTTCCCTTTCTGCCAAAAGGAGCAGGACGTGGATATTTAAAGCAGGGCAGCCCCAGCAGTCACACAGCACTAGCGTAGCTCCTGGCCCTCCACACACTGACAGAACCACCGTATCTATCCAGTGTCCAAGCTCTTGACTTGCATCCCACCTCCATTAAGATGCTTCAGTGAAGGAGGCTGGGACTTTGTGTCACTGAACGAGGAGGGAGGGTGTGTGTGTCAGTTACTTTTCTGTTGTGATAAAATGCCACGACCAGAAGCAGTTTGTGGAGGAAAGAGTTTATCTTGGCTTATGGCTCCAGAGGGATGAGAGTCCATTCTGGCGGGGAAGCATGTCAGTGAGTGGCAGGCAGGAGCGCAAAGCTGAGAGGTGACGTCTAATCCTGCAGGCATGAAACATAGAAAGCCAACTGGAAGCAGGAGAGGCTGTGAACGCTCAAAGTCTCCCCAGTGACATATTTCCTCTGGCACTTCCCAGAGGTTCCAAAACCTCTCCAAACAATGCCACAAGCTACAGGCCATGCCTTCAAATGCTTGAGCCTGTGGAAGGCATTTCTCGTCTCAATCACCGCAGAGAAGCCATGGGGACACACTCGCCGAGCACCTGTCTAGTGGCCTCCCACTTACGCTCCAGGTCTTGTGGCGTGCACTTTTGTATCATCCCCTTCGATTCTACAATGATGAGTGGATGGGACTCAGTGTCATCTAGTTTGCAGGGTGGACACAAAGCTCCAGAGAGGACAGACGAGCCGCCACTGCGAGGGTGTAGTCTCTGGTTATCTAACTGCAGTACTGTGCGTTCTTATCGGCTGAGCTATGATTGTGAAGCAGCAGAGCTGGCACTAAGCTGGTCTTGAAGCTCAGAGGACTCTCTTGGAGGGAATCAGTGTCTGCAGTGAACTGACAAATGAGCAGAAGTTATGCCTGGGAAAGTAGAGGGGAGCAGGCAAGATCATAGTGTGATCATCGGTTCAAGCCATACCAGAGAAATCCAGAGTTGGTCTCATCTGGAGTCACTTAGAGTGATGGAGACACAGGCTGGGGGTCAAGGTGAGAGGCGAAGACGTTCATGAACATCCCTTGAGAGGTCTAGAGAGCTGAGCTTTGTGCTAGGGCAACAGAGATTCTCCAGGGCTCCGGGGGCTTTTTGTCATTATGTTTTGGTCTGAAGGCACCTCTCTGCTGAGGATGGAGAATCGACAGGAAGGGGTGGGACTTGATAGAAGAATAACAGTGAAAAGAGGAACACGTGGATCCTGACAGGGGTCAGAGATGGGACTGGGCAAAGGTGAAAGGTGAGAGAATGATAGGAATTTTAGGAATTGGTAGGACGTGGGTAAAGGCAAGTTTTCCAGGTGTCTGCCTTGAGCAACTGGGGGCAAAGAGGCAGACTCATTACTCACGTAGGTGCCAAAGGACCGGTGTGCACTTGACAGTGAACAGAATCGAACATGAGATATGGTTATTAAGTGGTATTTATTAAGAGGGAATACTCACACGAGAAGCGCATAACCAGATTGTCATCCGAGAAGCCCAGTCTCAGACGCCTCCAACACCTGGCCTGAACCCGGAGAGAGAGCAAGAGCCTCTCCTCCTCACTCTTTATCCTACCCCTCTACGTACCTGTGACCACACCCAAATGTGCGTGGTCAGCGGTACAGGTAACCAGGGTCTCTCCCTACATGTGCCCAACTATCTGTCCAACAAGGTTTTTTTGGAGTGTGTGCTCCATGCCAGGCACTGTTACAGTTGAGGCAAGAGGAGGAAGTGATTCCAAACCTGGGGCTGTAGGCAGAATCATGTTTGATGACAAATACATGTTCCTGCTGAATAAATAGAATTTCACTTTATTTGAAAGACAGCACTGTGCCCATACCACAATATCAGAACCCTACCTGCCATGCACATCAAGGGAAAGACCTGTCTCCCAGACAGCTGCGATGGTTTCAATGGGTGTGCCACGAAGGCTAGTGTGTTAAAGGCTTCCTCTCCAGTTAGAGGTGCTATTCGGAGAAGATAGAACTGTGAGGAGGAGGAGCCTTGGTGAAGGGAGTTAGGTCATTGGGGGCGTGCAGAAACGGACATGGGAAAGCTGGGCATTGGTGGCACACGCCTTTAATCCCAGCACTCGAGAGGCAGAGGCAGGCGGATCTCTGTGAGTTCGAGACCAGCCTGGTCTACAAGAGTGAGTTCCAGGACAGCCTCCAAAGCCACAGAGAAACCCTGTCTCGAAAAATTAAAAAAAAAAAAAAAGGGACATTGTTATGATAAATCTTTCTGCCAAAAGCTGAGGAGCCCCACTGCCACATGTGCGCTTTATGCCAGCCTCCTGCCTGAGTTAGGGCCCAAATGAATACACAGAAACTTGTATTAGGTTCAAAGCTGCTTGGCCAATGACTAGGATTCTCATCTGTTAGCTCAGTCTTAACTATCATACATCTATATATTTTATAAGACTTATCTTATCGGATGCCTTATTGGCGTCCCTCCTTGCCGGTGGGTCACATTGTGCCGCTGGAGGAGCAAGGGGAAAAGAGACATGCTTCCTATGTCTCCTTCGCTTAAATATGAGTCTCCTTGCTACGTCACTTCCTGCCTGGATCACCACTTCTCTACTACATTTCCCAGAATCCTCTTTGACTCCTAGTCCCATCTACTTGCTGTCTCATTGGCCAAACAGTATTTTATTTAACAATCAATAAGATAAACATACACAGTACATTCCCCATCAGGACATGGGAGCCTTTCTGCTTCCCACCTGTCACGAGGTGGGCAGCTTCTATTCACTATGTATTCCCTCTGTGGTGCTCTGCCACGCCACAGGCCTAAGGGCAGTGGGGCCATGTGACCATGGACTGAACTCTTTGGAACTGTGAGCCCAGATGGACCTTGTTTCCTCACGGATTGGTTGTCTCGTCACAGTAACAGAATGCTAACACAACCTATAGCAGATGCACAAGAGAGATGAAAATAATACGCCGTGGCAACACCCCCGACTCCAGTTCTAGTGAACCCCAAATACTCAGTTTCAGAGTGTGCGGATGCTGCGTCCTGTAAACAAAGCCACACTTCCTGTTTTAAGACAAACTTCTGGGCTTTGGAAGGGGTGGCGGTGGACAGGGAATAACCGCACAATTACTGAAGGCCAGCAATTCCTCCTCGGTGATCTCCTGGACGCTCTGGAGAGACTCGCATCTCTCTTTCCCGACATCAGCCATCCACGAGCGCTCTTCTAGCACCACCACCTCGCAGTTGGACTTCTCAACCGGGATTTCAAATGTGGTTTCTGGCCACTCCCTGTATATGTCTACGGAAGCGTCCACGTCCTCCAGGAACGCTTCATCTTTGGCTACGAGGCATTGCTCCACGACGATATTTTCAATTCTCAGCTCCTCGGTTCCATGGAGAGGGTCTCTGGCCATGGAGCGGTCTGGGCTGAGCACTCTGATGTGGCATGGCAGTTTTGTGACCTGGCACAGCTCCCACAGGGTCCCCGGCCCGGCATCAGCAAACAGCTCCCGGAAGTCTCCTTCTGCGAACAAGGGCAGTTTGACTTGGGCCTTGGTGGCGATGTTCAGGCACTTGAGGACCTCCACCCTGTGCAGCTCGCCGTGCATCTCCGCAGACACCACGCTCTTCTTCAGAGCCAGGAAGCTCTCATTGGCCGTGAAAGACGCCAGGGGCTCCAGGCAGGAGCTGTAGTCCCTGCAGGACTGGAAGCAAAGCTGGCCTTGTTGCATGGCTGCAGCGACATCAGAGACAGCATAAAAATATCGACCCCTCCTAAGTACCAGGCCCTGGTAGGTGTATGGGATGAGAAAACGCCTGCCTTTCCTTCCTTGGGAAATCTCCGTGGCCACGAACTTTTTCACATCTTCCGCCCTGAGGATGGTTAAGCGCTGCCCACACTTGAGAGGCTTTGTGAGTGCCTTGTTCTCCGACAGGGTCACACTCATTACTTTAATTCTCACTGGGAATCTGTTTGGTTCCATGCTGTATATTTGTCTCATTGTCGTCAGCGTAAAGGGCTTATGATCCAAGCAGGCAATCTCGGTAATGTGGATGTCCAGGTCGGAGGGGATGCTGACCTGGATGGCACCTGGGGAAGTCAAAGGGAAACTGTGTGAGGCTTTGGAGAAGGAGTGGGTTTGGAAGGAAGCGTGGCTAATGGGGTCTAAGCTTTAAAACCCTCTCCCCTTGGCTGCAACGTGTCGCCTGATAGATTTGCGTGCAGTGTTCAAGTGACTCTAGTGGCCGGATGGCTCAAGCCTTCTTTTGCTGTGTGACCTGTCCGTGTATCTGGTGCTGTCGGAGTAGATGCAAGAGAGAAATTGCATTCATTATAAAGGACACGAGGGGTCCGTCTAGAAAGCACGAACACAGCTGAGTGTGTTGCAGCCCCGAGTGCTGCTCCCCCCACAATCCTCATCAAGAGCCCAGGCAGCAATGGAAGCTCTTTCTGTCTGTCCTTGTCTGTGGTTAAGACTTGTAGATCTGAAAGCTCTTGGAAGAATCAAGTGGCTTCCAAACTAGATTATTTGAGAAGAATTTAATGCAGGATTGAAAAAAAAAAAAAAAGTCTCTGGACAGAGCATGTGTGACAGCCCCAGAAAACAGTTAACCTCCCCTGTGCACTTACAGAGTCCAGCACAGTCTGGTTGGAGCCCTGGGCAGCAATGTAGTTGGGAGTCGTGTTCTTCCCTCACTTCCCTGAGTTCTCTGAGAACTTCTGTTTCTTGGCTGACTATCTTGGGAAGGAAGGTGGGTGTGTTGACTCCGCCTTCCCAGGCCAGCCCCAGCCTCTGGGCTGGATGAAGGGGGCACTGAAGGCTAGAGCAGAATGATGGTGTCTAGAGTGGGGAGGGGTATGGGGCTAGGTGCAGAAATACATATTTCTATATCACTGTATTTAAAAAAATATGAGCACAAGACCATCAGAGTGTGGCTGTGGCCTTGAATCCAGCATCCGTCCGCCTCAGGCTTCCTGAGATTTCTTTTGCTTAAATTAAAAAAATATTTCATTTTTATTTATGTGTAAGAGTGTTTGGTTGCATTTATGCATGTGCTCCATGTATGGAGGCCAGAAGAGGGCATGGAAACCCCCAGAATTAGAGTTACAAACAGTTGTACACCATTGTGTAGTGCTGGATCCTGAACCCAGGTCTTCTGCAAAAGCAACAAGTGCTCTTAACTGCTGAGCCATGTCTCCAGTTCCACAAAGAACATCCTTTCGAAGTAGAATCTTATGTTTCCCAGGCTATCCCCAAACTCCTGTGCTCAACTGACCCTGTTGTCTACGTCTCCCAAGCAGTCAGGATGACAGGGACACACCACTGCGCTGGGTATAGAGTCACACTTAAATTTTAAGGAGTTTCAATTTCTTCATCTCTTTGAAATCAGTACCATGTTACTTATTTTTATTTAAAAATTTAAACAAAATTTTATGTATATGGGTGTTTTGCCTACATGACTCACATGCATGCAGTGCCCACAGGAGCCAGAAGAGGGCGTAGGATCTCTTGGAACTGTGAGCTGCCAAGTATGCTGGGAATTGAACCCAGGCCCATTGGATGAGCACCCAGTGCTCTTACCTCAGAGCCATCTCTCTAAGCCCTCCCCACCCTTTCAGTACTAGGGACTGGACAGGGCTTCTCACCTGCTAAGCATACGATCTACTATTGAACCACAGCCTCAGCCCTACCTCGTATTTTATCAATAAACACTATTCATTCATCTTAGTAGAAGCCGTGCGCTATAAACCTCAGAAGCCAGAGTGAGGCAGAGGGAGGAAGGGCTCAGCAAGAATGGGCTAGGAAGAAGCCTGGATTTTAGGTGACTAAGAGAGCCGCTTCTGGAGTTGGCCACACAACTGCACACAGGTGTGAGAGAGACCTTACCCCCAGGTCCCCTTGGGACCCATAGACCAACCACTTCTGTCACACACAGGGCTGTTCTCGTCATTACCCAAAGACCAAGTAGACCGAGAATAAGAGACATGAGCTATGGAGACGTCATGGAGTGAGGGCTGGGGGAACACGCTGTAGTCAGTCTACACACAGCCAATAAACAAAGCTGTAGCATGAGAGACCAAGGCAAAGCATCTACTGGAAACTGGACAACGGAAGCCATGAATTCTCAGCGAGCCAAATTAGCCTTTTGCAAACACAGCCTACTTAAAGGAATCTTCCAGCAAGCAAAATTTTAAGGCTGTTGTAAATTCACACTTAATGTAACGCAGCATTTCTTTCCTGCAAAGGACAATAAAGTGTTGTGGCCTATGAGAAGATGGAGTCTGGCTTTGCCATGGACTATAAACAAAACCATAAAATTAATGGACGGTGAGGGACTAGCTTTTATGGTAACATGGAAAAAAATGCATCAATAATAAATTCGCTCAAAGGGAAGACTTCTTTTTTTATTATCTGCTCACAGCCCAACTGGCTGTCACCCCGGTATGGATATTTATGAAGGGAATCACACTGACGCATCTTAAGTCCCCTGCAGGAAATGTGTTTAGTAGATGTGAAGATGAGAATGCAATAATGGGTGTGGGATGAGTGGATGTGTGATAGGATAGCCCACCCCAAGGGGGAGTGTGTCTCCAGCATCCAATAGTTCCTCACAAATCAACACGTGAAGCCAGTGAGGGCAGATGTGACCACTTTCTGAAAATGGAATCTTCACATCTGTTTCTGGGGTTCCTCAACCCACCAATCTGCAAATCTTTGGCCTTGGCAAGTTGCCTGCCCAGCCAGCAGCTACTGCTGTTTATTCCATCCCACGTTCTTGAAGCAAACACTCTTCCACACCTGTAGGGGGCAGCATTCTTGCTTTTATTGCCTGTGGCATGGGTGTTTGCCCTGCGAGAGTTTCTGTTCTGGAAACCTGGTCCCTGGAGACATTAGACATGGTAGAATCAAGGTGATTAGTGCTCCTGAGTTGAACTCCTGGAATTCAGTTGTAGAGACGGAGGAGTGATGAGCAAAGGGGTCAAGACCATGCTGGGGAAACCCACAGAAACAGCTGACCTGAGCAAATGGGAGCTCACAGACTCCAGACTGACAGCTGGGAAACCAACACAAGACCAAACCAGGCCCCCCGAATGTGGAGGGGCTGGGCAGTCTATGGGGCCTCTGACCGTGGACCCAGTATTTATCCCTAGTGCACAAATGGACTTTGGGAGCCCATTGCCTATGGAGGGACACTCTCTTAGCCTAGATACATCAGGGGAGGTCTTGGTCCTGCCCCAAATGATGTGACAGACTTTGATGATCCCCCATGGAAGGCCTCATCCTCCCTGGGGAGTGGATGGGGGTGGGATTGGAGGGTCAGTGGGGGCATTGGAGGATGGGAGGTAGAGGGAACTGGGATTGATATGTAAAATAAGGTTGTTTCTGAATTAAATAAAAATATCAAAAAAAGATAATTAGTGCTCAAGAGAGGGGTATAGAACAATAATATTGCCTCCTCACTGCTGCTTCTTGTCTTGCAAAAACGCTGCCTGTTGGGCCCTTCCCCCATTGGGGTCTGCTGACCATATTGTGACTAGGAGCTTAATTCTTGTTTCCCTCCTTCTGATAAGGCCTGAATGCAAGAATAAAAAATATCCAGCCATCCTTATTGCTGGAGGGATCTGGGGACATGAACTTCTGACCTGGGTAGTTTTCCACCATGCCTGCTGTCTGGTATATAAGCCTTCTCTCCTTTGTAATAAATGGCATTCTCCTTGCAGGAATGGCTCACTGTCTTGTCTTTATTTGACTCCTCAGGTCCCTCGCCTGAATCAGTAAGAAGTGTGGTAGCGCTGGTGCTACAGCTGCCATGATGCCACCTGCCATGAAGTCCCTGCCAGAGCTGGTGCCATGCTATTTGGACTTTCAGTCTCCAAAGCCAGGAGTTATGAAACCTCATTTCTTTGTAGTTGTCCCAGCCTCAAGTTTTCTTGTTCTAGCAACAGAAAACAGACTAATGCATGCTCCCAACTATTTTGCCTCACTCACCTGGCAGATGTGCCACCACTGAGAAATGGGGGTGCAAAACTAGATGGCCATTAAAGCGCTCTGGAACCAGGGGGTTAAGAAGCCTCAGGCGATGTCCTGCCTCCATCCGAACTCTGCGTTGTCTCCCTGCGAGCAGCTTCCACCTCACGATGGTGTCAATGGAGTAGAGCTGGTGGTCCTGGCACTCCTGGAAGCGGCCCCTGCAGTCCATGGGCAGGAGCAGCCTCAGGGGAGGGTCCTTCCTCAGCACCTCACATTGAAGCAGCCTCCTCCCCTGACTCTCTGCAAAGCCCACTAAGGACAGCGTTTCTCCACTCCTGAGCTTCGTGGGCCCGTCATCCATGGAGATGGGGACTAAGTTCTGGAAGTGGGGAGGACATCTGTGGGTCATGGGACTTTGGGGAAGGCGGACAGACCTGACTAAGTCAGCCACAGTTTCAAAAGCCACGGGATCTGCAATCAGTTGGAAGTTCCCTGCAGAGAAGTCAACAGAAAAGCATGTTCAGGGTTTCATGCACAGGGATAGTGGAGCCTGCCTCCAACCCCACACCGTTTGGAGGCACAGTGTTGGCTTTTACCATTTTACCTCTCACCTGCTGGGTTCCAAGGACACAGAGGACAGCAGAATCGGCCCTTCTCGATCCTGCAGCCTCTGTCGCAAACCAGAAGAGAGCATCTCTGTCTTTGGAGAAGGCTGCTGTGCGTCTGTCTAGTCTCTCACCTTCCCAAAGACCACCACATCTCCAGCTGCCATTCTAGTGCTCAAGACCCCCAGGTATCTCTTGTCATCACTCAGACCACACCTGTCCCTAGCTCTTTGTTCCTTGCATCCTGTTTCCCTTCACGGTCTCAAATACAGACATACCTGGCAGTTACTCCCAAACACGCAAAATTCTCGGCAACACTCAGACCTTTCTGGACTTCGTACAGTTTATCTCAATTTTTGTTCTTACATCATTGAGATGATTAGAATTTCTGGGGTCACAGTTTTGGAACCTAGTACCCCTCTGTCCTTGCCCTGTCTGAAGACTGACTTTGCAGAGATGAGGAGAAAAGCCAACGCTTGCTGATTGTGTGGCCATCTGCCTCATGACGGATCCCACAGGCATTGCAGCCTGGATCAATTCCCCCCCACCTCTCTCTGAGTGAGTCTCATTGTGTAGCCCAGGCTGGCCTCAAACCTACAGAAATCTGCCTGCCTCTGCCACCCAAGTGACAGTTCACTACCATTTTTATATCTTGTTGCTTTCTGAAAGATTAGTCATGAGCACTCATTTTATTATTTTTGCATGCTATTCTTTTTTAATAAAATTGTATTTACTTAGAAGCATTCAGAATGTCAACAAAACAGCTGTATTTTTTTTTTTTTTGCAATTACAGAGTGGTATTCAATTAACAGAACAATTATCTTAAAATAAGCTGCAGCAGAGACAACTAAAAATGTAAAAAAACCCCCAAAAAAAAAAAAAAAAAACCATACTATCCCCATATATAACTAATTTGTGCTGTACACCAACAAGGACCTGCATTAAATTTCCATGCCAATTTACAGCCCCCAGACTGTACCAGGCAAGGTTAGTGGCTATTGAAAATACCACCCGGACAGGGTTATCTAAAGACACATTCGGTAGTGTGTTAACTATACAAAAAAAAGACACTGTACAGTTTAAAAATCTTACACAGCCTTACATTTCAATTTTTTTCTTTAAAAGGTGTGAGTTGTGTCGGGCGTTGGTGGCGCACGCCTTTAATCCCAGCACTTGGGAGGCAGAGGCAGGCGGATCTCTGTGAGTTCGAGGCCAGCCTGGTCTCCAGAGCGAGTGCCAGGATAGGCTCCAAAGCTACACAGAGAAAACCTGTCTCGAAAAAACAAAAACAAAAAAAGGAGTGAGCTGTGTACATGGGTTAAATGCTTAATAGAAAAAACTGCACTAGAACCAAATTATTCATCATCCTCTTCTTCGTCTTCCTCTTCTTCCTCCTCTTCCTCATCCTCTTCCTCCTCCTCCTCTTCCTTTTTCTTGCTCTTTTCTGCCTTGACCCCCCCCCCCTTCTTTCACAGGGCTGCCTGTCCTCTGCAGCAGTGCTGCTCCACAGCTCTCCCAGTGTCTCTGCAACACCACCAATGGACAAGCCTGGGTGTCTCCTTTGATTTTTGGATGATACTCAGAACAGAACAAAAAGAAGGCTGAAGGAGGCCTCTGGGTGCATTGGGGTCCTTGAACTTCTTTTTGGTTTCCCCTTTTTGTGGGGGGGTGTAGGTTTTCATTTCTCTTTTATAACGAGCCTTGCCAGCCTTTGCCATGTCTTCAAATTTTCCCTTTTCTTTAGCAAACATGGTCTTCCACCTTTCTGAGCACTTCTTTGAGAATTCTGAGAAGCTGACAGACGTATCTGGGTGCTTCTTGTGTTCCTCCCGGCAGGTTTGCACAAAGGACGAATATTAGGTTGTTTTGCCTCTTTGCTTCTTAGGATCTCCTTTGCCTGTGTTTAGTTGATTTTCGTGTGTGAGGCACAGAGTCACCCAGTGTCCGCCTGGCTTGTGCTTGCCCCGGCGATGTCTTTATGGAGTCCCCTTTGCATGCTATTTTTGTCTTTCTGTGTGCACACACAAACCTTCTTCCCCCTATAAAGTTACCATCCCCCAATGTCAAAATCTTGTCATTGTTTTTTCTATTGGAAATTTCCATGGGTCAAAAAAATCTTTATAAGAGTATAATGTTTTCATTTATATTAAAAAAAATCCTTAACTAATGAGAAACATCCTAACAAACTTAACAGAGAATGATGTCACCAAAGGAAACCAGGCACATGTTCAGTCATGTGCTCACAGTGTTTAGGGCGTGTTCTGTGTGTATATGTGGATTCGTTGCACAGAAGCAATCCCCCAAGTTAATGACCCATCAGTTAAGAATGGTCCATTTTTCCCTGACCATGGAGACTTATTTAGAGATGGGCATGTGTTCCAAAAAGACCTTAACAGCATTCACCGGGACTTGGACAATATAGTAAGATAAGTTCTGTAACAACATCTCATGGCCCTCCCCCCACCATACCCGCGCCCCCCCCCAACACAAAGGAAGCTACACACAATACTCAGGAATGGGGCCAATAGGTAAAGGGAAGTCTAAACCAAAGCCAGGATACTTAGAGAATGAGAGACATCGAGAATTTTCACTGTCCACACTGTTATAAACTGGGCTGTTCATAAACACACAATACAAGACTCTATTTCTAGTGCCAAGGTCTGAGAAGTCTGAAATTGCCAACAGACATGCTGTCTAATGAGAGACTGCTTCCTGGCTCATGGGTGGTCATCTTCCCTGATAACATCACATGAAAGGTGAGGGTGGCTCTCTTTTATAAGGAAACAAATTACTATCATCAGGACTTGAGCTAAACACAGCCTGAAGGCACCGCCTCCCACCACGGTGAGGGCTGGGGTTCAGCATATAAAGTAGGGGTGGGGGATGAACATTCAGGTTGCAGTCCAGAGAGGAAAACAAGGAGGAAAGAAAAGACTCAAGTAATTGAGAGACAGTGGCTCTAGTTAAAGCCACCCTTCTTCGCCTCAGCATTTTGGTCGCATGAGCCAGTAATTTCCCTTTGCTATCTAAGCTGTTTTAAATTGCTTTTCTGTCACTTGGAACTGAAAAGACTTTTCTAATAAATATGCCTCTCAGCTCACTCAGGACACTGAGCTCTGGAACCAGCAAGTGCTTGAATCTCAGTCTTCACAAACACTCAGCAGTGGCAACAACGAACATTTAACCCTTACCAAGACATGTGATAGAAAGAACTGAGTATTTGGAGAAAGTAATTATAGAGAAACAATTACAGTTCTCATTGTGGCATCAGGTAATTCTGTTTTCTTCATTTTCATAAGTTGACTAATTTCCTTTGGTAATATTTATTTATTTGTTAGTTTGTGAGACAAAGTCTTCCTACATAGCCCTGTCTGTCCTGGAACTCACTACATAGACCAGGCTGGCCTCAAACTCAGATTTGCCTGCCTCTGCCTCCTAGGTGCTGGGACTAAAGATGAGGATCACCACACTGGGCATCTATGGTTTTTTTTTTTTTTTTTTTTTTTTTTTTTTTTTTTTTTAGTAAAAAAGCAGTGTTTCCCCACTAAATGCTAAGGCATCAGTGTCAAAAAAAGGACTAATAAATTGGACTTCAAAAATATTAAAATATTTTCTACATCAAAGAACTCTATCAAGAAACCAAGAGACAAGCTAGGTGTAGGGACACATGCTTTTAATCCCAGCACTCTGGAGGCAGAGCCAGGTAAATCTCTGTGAGTTCGAGGCTAGCCTGGTCTAAAGCATGAGTTCCAGGACAGCCAGGACTATGTAGAGAGATCCTGTCTCAAAAAAAAAGTGAAAATACAATCCATAGGATGGGTTGAAAATGCTGCCAAGTCATATAGAAAGAACACCCGTGACGCAACATCAGAGCAGCGATCTGATTAAAAAAGAGTTAAAAAGTTTGAATAGATAGTTTCCAGAGGGGACAGATGACCAATAAATGACATAAAAATGTGATCAAGTAGTTAGAGATGACCACTGCACACCAGCTAGACTGTGTCTGGAGAGATGGCACCGCGTTTAAGAGCATGTGCTGTTTCTTGCAGGGGGCCTGTGTTCTCTTCCCAGCATCTTTATTGGGTGGTTCACAACAGCCATAGCTCCAGTGCCAGGGGATCCAAAGCTGCCTTCTAGCCTCTGAGGGTACCTGTACTCACGCAGACCCTCTCTACACATAAACAACTAAAAATATAATAAATCCTAAAGACACACACACACACACACACACACACACACACACACACCACACACACGAAAACGTGCGCACACACGTGCAAACGCACACTCCCTGAGAAGCACGCAGAAGTCTCTGGTGCTGGTGAGGCAGGAAGGGAGTGATAGTCATGTTGCTGGTGGGAATGAAATGTAATATGGCCCCTGTGGAAGTTAAGACGGTGGTGACTCACCACACAATCCAGTGGCTCTCCTCCTAGGTGTAGAAAGGAGGGACTCAGGACGAGAGCTTACGGAGACATGGCTTCATCAGTCTCCATGCTGCATTTTTCATGGCAGCCAAGACAGGAGAAACCTGAGTATGTCTTTCCAGGAGGCGGGGTCAGCAAACTATGGTCATAAATACAGTGGGATGTGTTCCAGACAGAAAAAGGCTTTAAAAATCTTCCCTCCCAGGTAACAGTGTTTCTCAGAGGACATCCGTAGATTGGTGGTTGCTGGGGACAGGGGACAGGAGACAAACAGTTGAGGATCTCAGGCAGTTACCAAAAATGCCCTAAAACTGATTTATACCATGGGCAGTGGTGGCGCATGTCTTTAATCCCAGCACTCGGGAGGCAGAGGCAGGAGGACCTCTGTGAGTTCGAGGCCATCCTGGTCTGCAGAGCGAGTGCCAGGACAGCTAGGGCTACACAGAGAAACCCTGTCTTG